AGAGCATAGGCAATGGGGTCGAAGAGGTATGGGGTAGGTTTAAAAATGTAGTGTTAGAGTGTTCAGCAGAAGTTTGTGGTTACAGGAAAGTGGGTGCAGGAGGGAAGAGGAGCGATTGGTGGAATGATGATGTAAAGAGAGTAGTAAGGGAGAAAAAGTTAGCATATGAGAAGTTTTTACAAAGTAGAAGTGATGCAAGGAGGGAAGAGTATATGGAGAAAAAGAGAGAAGTTAAGAGAGTGGTGAAGCAATGTAAAAAGAGAGCAAATGAGAGAGTGGGTGAGATGTTATCAACAAATTTTGTTGAAAATAAGAAAAAGTTTTGGAGTGAGATTAACAAGTTAAGAAAGCCTAGAGAACAAATGGATTTGTCAGTTAAAAATAGGAGAGGAGAGTTATTAAATGGAGAGTTAGAGGTATTGGGAAGATGGAGGGAATATTTTGAGGAATTGTTAAATGTTGATGAAGATAGGGAAGCTGTGATTTCGTGTATAGGGCAAGGAGGAATAACATCTTGTAGGAGTGAGGAAGAGCCAGTTGTGAGTGTGGGGAAGTTCGTGAGGCAGTAGGTAAAATGAAAGGGGTAAGGCAGCCGGGATTGATGGGATAAAGATAGAAATGTTAAAAGCAGGTGGGGATATAGTTTTGGAGTGGTTGGTGCAATTATTTAATAAATGTATGGAAGAGGGTAAGGTACCTAGGGATTGGCAGAGAGCATGCATAGTTCCTTTGTTATAAAGGCAAAGGGGATAAAAGAGAGTGCAAAAATTATAGGGGGATAAGTCTGTTGAGTGTACCTGGTAAAGTGTTGGTAGAGTTATAATTGAAAGAATTAAGAGTAAGACGGAGAATAGGATAGCAGATGAACAAGGAGGCTTTAGGAAAGGTAGGGGGTGTGTGGACAGGTGTTTACAGTGAAACATATAAGTGAACAGTATTTAGATAAGGCTAAAGAGGTCTTTGTGGCATTTATGGATTTGGAAAAGGCGTATGACAGGGTGGATAGGGGGGCAATGTGGCAGATGTTGCAAGTGTATGGTGTAGGAGGTAGGTTACTGAAAGCAGTGAAGAGTTTTTACGAGGATAGTGAGGCTCAAGTTAGAGTATGTAGGAAAGAGGGAAATTTTTTCCCAGTAAAAGTAGGCCTTAGACAAGGATGTGTGATGTCACCGTGGTTGTTTAATATATTTATAGATGGGGTTGTAAGAGAAGTAAATGCGAGGGTCTTGGCAAGAGGCGTGGAGTTAAAAGATAAAGAATCACACACAAAGTGGGAGTTGTCACAGCTGCTCTTTGCTGATGACACTGTGCTCTTGGGAGATTCTGAAGAGAAGTTGCAGAGATTGGTGGATGAATTTGGTAGGGTGTGCAAAAGAAGAAAATTAAAGGTGAATACAGGAAAGAGTAAGGTTATGAGGATAACAAAAAGATTAGGTGATGAAAGATTGAATATCAGATTGGAGGGAGAGAGTATGGAGGAGGTGAACGTATTCAGATATTTGGGAGTGGACGTGTCAGCGGATGGGTCTATGAAAGATGAGGTGAATCATAGATTGATGAGGGAAAAAGAGTGAGTGGTGCACTTAGGAGTCTGTGGAGACAAAGAACTTTGTCCTTGGAGGCAAAGAGGGGAATGTATGAGAGTATAGTTTTACCAACGCTCTTATATGGGTGTGAAGCGTGGGTGATGAATGTTGCAGCGAGGAGAAGGCTGGAGGCAGTGGAGATGTCATGTCTGAGGGCAATGTGTGGTGTGAATATAATGCAGAGAATTCGTAGTTTGGAAGTTAGGAGGAGGTGCGGGATTACCAAAACTGTTGTCCAGAGGGCTGAGGAAGGGTTGTTGAGGTGGTTCGGACATGTAGAGAGAATGGAGCGAAACAGAATGACTTCAAGAGTGTATCAGTCTGTAGTGGAAGGAAGGCGGGGTAGGGGTCGGCCTAGGAAGGGTTGGAGGGAGGGGGTAAAGGAGGTTTTGTGTGCGAGGGGCTTGGACTTCCAGCAGGCATGCTTGAGCGTGTTTGATAGGAGTGAATGGAGACAAATGGTTTTTAATACTTGACGTGCTGTTGGAGTGTGAGCAAAGTAACATTTATGAAGGGATTCAGGGAAACCGGCAGGCCGGACTTGAGTCCTGGAGATGGGAAGTACAGTGCCTGCACTCTGAAGGAGGGGTGTTAATGTTGCAGTTTAAAAACTGTAGTGTAAAGCACCCTTCTGGCAAGACAGTGATGGAGTGAATGATGGTGAAAGTTTTTCTTTTTCGGGCCACCCTGCCTTGGTGGGAATCGGCCGGTGTGATAATAAAAAAAAATAAAATATAAAAAAAAAAAAAAAGAGTAAAAAGGGTATAGTGGCAACATTTCTGCAAACGGAAGGACTGCATGTTGTCATCAGGTGAGCATCCAGCGCCAACTTTGCACTCTTATATCTCCAAAAAAAAATTTTATCCTGTTACCTAGAGTATACCTGGAGATGTAGAAAAATGCCTTCATTTTCTTCAAAATATTCGGAGCGCTGGGCGAGAGAATGTAGATCTATGTTTGGACAGTTAAGGGGTTAACCCTTTCAAGGTTTCCAACGTACTAGTAAGGCTTACACGCCAGGGTTATTGACGTACTAGAACGCCTAAATTCTAGCACCTTCAAATCAAGTGAGAGAAAGATGGTAGGTCTACATATGAAAGAATGGGTCTATGTGGTCAGTGTGCAAGTACAAAAAATCCTGCAGCACAGAGTGCATAATGAGAAAAAAAATCCGACCATGTTTTTGGTTTAAAACAGCGACTTTGCACTGTACTTTTGTATGGTATTTATGGTTGTATTCTAGTTTTCCTGGTCTCATTTTATAGAATGGAAGACATATTAAAGAAATTGAGATGATATTGATTGGTTGAAATTGAGCTCAAAGTATCAGAAATGTTCGATTTTTACCAAATTTCAAAAGTAAACAAATCATGCCAAGCGTCCAATACACATCAACTGGTGAGTCAAATATTCTTTCACAAGTGCACTGATATTATTTATACCATTTCTACACCAATGCAGTAGTCTGCTAACAGTAAATCTTATATTTTTTGTGAGAATAAAAATTCAAAGTGGAAAGCAAAAGAGATGTAAGAAAGGCCTGGGGACCTGACTAATGAACAGAAAAAATGTTATTTTAGTGCCAGGAATGTCTGTGTTGCTTATTCTGGACCCTATTTGGAAATTAACATCTTCTGAAATTTGTGAAATTGGCAAAATTGCCAATTTCTGACCACTTTATTGGATATTTGAAATCGGTAAATGGGTGGTTTCTTGTACTCATTTGATAGAAAAAATGGAGTTCTAGGGAAATTGATATGATTTTTGTCGACTAGTACACTGAAATTGGCTGAAAACAGGGCTCAAAGTGGGCAAAATCGCCGATGCGCCAACATCATCGAGACTGCCAACTTTGTGAGAGCACAATTCCTTAAATTTTCCATCAAATTTCATACTTTTGGTGTCATTATGATCGAGAAAAGATTCTCTATCATTTCAAAAGATTTTTTTTTTTTTCCAAAAAATTTTCGACCCTAAGAACGAGTTTAGGAGAGGGCCTCTCGACCCTAAAAGGGTTAATTATTGATAGGCCCTAAACCATGACCAATTAGGAACAGAACTCCATCATTAAGTGAGGAGAGACTATACTTAATTAAATTTAACGGTCAGCCCTCCATATCCAAGGGTTCTGGATACGTGGATTCAACCAACCGCAGATCGAAAATATTAAAGAAAAAAAATACACAAAGTTCCAAAAAGCAGAATTTGAATTTGCTGTGTGCCAAGCACTACAATGAATCTACGCAAATGATGTGATGTGTAGGCAATACCAAGGGACAATTGTATATGTATAAACAGCCATCTGAGGTTTCTTCTATTTTCTTTATAATTCTTAATAGGTGTAGCCTGGTATAGGTGGTGAATGGATGATGAATGACTGGGTGGGTGAGTGTATGGTTGGTGTAGGCAGTAATGGGTGGGGCACTTGACTAAGTGCTTAGGTATGTGGACTGCATGTTAGGGTGAATGACTGCATAAGGTGTGGGCATGAGGTTGTGGGGAAGTGGTGAGGGACTAGGCAAGGTGTGGTCTTAGAGACAGTAGGGGAATGGTGTAAGTGTAGGCATGTCGCTGTGGGAAGAATTATCTGGGTGGGTTGTGTGGGGGTAGGTTGTTGGTTGAGCGTGTGGCAATATGAAATTGTGCAGGTGGAGGCTGCTGGCTGGAATGGTGTGGGTGAAAGAGTGTAGCCATGTAGGGGTTGTGGGCTGTATGCGTGTGTGACCAGAACATGTGGCCACAGAGAAGGGAAAAGTTGTTTGAGCAGTTGGTTTGGGCAGAGGTGTGTCCAAGTATGAATGAAGCAAAAGCCATGGTATTAAACACGTATGAATGGAGCAGAAGCTATGGTATTAAACACGTATGAACTGAGCAGAAGCTGTGGTATTAAACATGTATGAACTGAGCAGAAGCTATGGTATTAAACATGTATGAATGGAGCCCTCAGCCTCATTGCCAGATGGAGGAGAAAAAACCAAGTATTATAACCTTCACCCACCACACCCACCATGGGACATACAATGGGTGAAGGGAACATGGGACTTGAGCATCCATGGACTTTAGTATCTGTGGGGGGTCCTGGAACCATTCCCCACAGATAATGAGGGACAACAGTACACATAAAAATGGCCAAATAATACATAAATACTTGAATAACAATGCCAAAAGTATTCTGATTACAATACACTTCTTTTTTTATTGAGAGTGTGAAGGTGATTAGAAGCTGCAGGAACCATTCCACCATTACAGTAAACTAGCATTGAAAATATGAAGTCAATAAGAAGAGGCATTCTCAAGTTATAAATGAAGTTTGAAAGAAGAAAAAACAATAAGAAGAAATAAAAAAAATAAAACAATTAGGCAAGCACTGAAAGTTACCCCTTCAGGGATAACTCAGAATATTAAATGACTTACCTATAGCTTGAGCTGCATAACATGCTGCCTGCTCATTCCTCATGCCAATATACTTGATGCCTGCTTGCTGAGCTGCCACTGCTACTTCAACAACAGGAATGCCAACTATCTGAAGATGAACAAGTAAATATAGTATTGTCTTCTCACCTCCTCCTCTACAAATTACTAAATGTAAAAAGAAGAAACTTTTGTTTCTTCTTTTTCGGGTCACTTGCCTAAGTGGAAGATGGCTGGTGTTTCTAAAAAATAACCTGTTCTGCTTCTTGTGAAGAATTGTCTTCTTAAATTTAACAAAGTATTGAGAAAGATTAGTAAGACAGCATATGGCTGAAGCTTCCATAATTATTAAAGTGAAGTTCATCATGGCATAGTGAGCCAGCGAGTCTCTTGAACTTCTTCCTACCAGTAAATACACATCACAACTCAATACAGTAATTAGAAACCAAAATGCAGTATACAGAAAACTTTGCTTTCCTGTTTGTGTCTACATGTGGGACATGTTCCTCGCTTATCAGTTGAGGTAGAGGTAATGCCTCCACCTCAACATTGATGCTGTAGAAGAACTTTTCATATATCAAATGTGCAGGTAACCTCATAAACACAATGCATTCAAAATTCCCCAAAACTTCAAAACATTATACTCAAAGCTTTTGAAAACCCAAATGCATGAACAGCATTTCAGGCAACTTAGACTAGGATAAAACTATATATTATTAGAAGACAGATGTGACATTATCTAAGTTTAAGAGTCTAGCACAGGGTCCTAATAAAAAGTAAAAATAATATTAAAAATTCTAATTACAAGATTATTCAATAAAATGAAAGTTATTATTGACAAGTTAGAAAAGAGTGAAGAGTAGTTTGTAATAATAAGATAAAATATTACTTTCAGGGGATGATACTTTTTCTTAACATGCTGGCTGCCTCCCACCGAGGCAAAATGACCTGAAAAGAAGAAACACTTTCACTATCACTCACAGACCGGGCCGCGGGGGCGTTGACCCCCGAAACTCTCTCCAGGTAAACTCCAGGTACATCATTGCCTTGCCAGAATCATGCAGATACTACAGTTCAGATGCCCCTCCAAACTGTAATATCCCCACCCCTCCTTCAGAGTGCAGGCACTGTGCTTCCAACCTCCAGGACTCAAGTTCAGTCAACCACTTTCCCTGAGTCCCTTCATGTTACTTTGCTCATACTGCAACAGCACGTCAAGTCATAAAAACCACTCGCCTTCACACTTTCCTAATACATTCATAAATGCCTCATGGACGTCCAAGCCCCTCACGTACAAAACCTCTTCTACCCCTTTGCTCCAACCATTCCTAGGACGACCCCTACCCTGCCTTTCTTCCACTACAGATTTATATGCTCTCCAAGTCATTCTATTTTGTTCCATCCTCTACGAATGTCCAAACTATCTCAACAACTATCTGGATACTTTTAGAAACCCAACACCTTCTCCTAGTCTCCAAGCTATGGATTCTCTGCATAATATTCACTCCACACATTGCCCTCAGACACGACATCTCCACTGCCTCTAGCCTTCTTGGTGCAACATTCACCACCCATGCTTCACACCCATATAAAATTGTTGGTACCAGTATATTCTCATACTTTCCCTTTTTTGCCTCCCTGGATAATGTTCTTTGTCTCCACAGATGACTTAATGCACCACTCACCTTTTTCTCTGTCATCAATTCTATGGTTCACCTCATCTTTCATAAATCCATCCACTGATAATTCCACTCCCAAATATTTGAATACATTCACTTCCTCCATGCTTCCTCCCTCCAATCTGATATTCAGTTGATCTTCACCTAAATCATTCATTACTTTCATCACCTTGCTCTTTTCTAAATTCACTTTAAATTTCCTTCATTAACCCTTTCAGTGGCCATCACATAGAACTACATCAATGAGCTCAGAGTCTTTCATGTAGTTCTGTTCCAAAAGATCACTCAGATAAGCTGTGAATGGTAAATTTTGGCCTAGATATGAGAGACTGGGTCTGTGCAATGAGTGTGCAGAATATAAAAAAAAAATCCTACCCCATGCAGAGCATGATGGGAAAAACAAACTCAGACCAGGTGGATGTTTTTTCAGATGGGTTTTATGGTTTCATTGGCTGTTTCTTGATATCATTTGATAGAATGAAAGACATACTGCCAAAAGAAATTATTTTGATTGGTTTCAGGACCAGAAGTGGCTTGAAACTGAGCTCAAAATAGTGGAAATTATAGATTTTTTGCCGATATTCTTTTTTTTTTTTTTTTTTTTTTTTTTTTTTTTTTTTTTTTACACAGGGTTTGACAAGGTTAAGGATCCCTAGTGGGTAAGGCCTCCATATAACTTCCTGTCTGTTTTATGGGTTTTTAATATGTCAGATTCCATTATTGGGACACTGTAAACTATACAAACTATCTTGGTTATATTTTATCTGAGAAATAGAATAAATTTTCAAATTTTGTGTGATTAAGAGCTCAAAACGGAAGGAGAACATGACTAATAAACAGCCAATGTTGTTTTAGTGTCAGCAATGTCTACAGTGTTTATTTTAGACTCTAATTCTAAATCGGTGTTTTTAAATTTTGTGTCAAATTGGTCAAATTACTGACTTCTATGCATTTTATTGTGATAACAACAATGACAATAATAATAATAATAATAATAATAATAATAATAATAATAATAATAATAATTCTAACAATAATTCTAGGTAGTAGGCTGGTAGACAGCAACCGTCCAGGGAGGTACTACCGCCCTGCAAAGTGAATGTAAAATGGAATCCTTTGATCGTTTTACATGATGGTAGGACTGCTGGTGTCTTTTTTCTGTCTCATAAACATGCAAGATTTCAGGTGTGTCTTGCTACTTCTGCTTACACTTAGGCCACACTACACATGCATGTACAAGCATATATATACACACCCCTTTGGGTTTTCTACTATTTTCTTACTAGTTCTTGTTCTTGTTTGTTTCCTCTTATCTCTATTGGGAAGTGGAACAGAATTCTTCCTCTGTAAGTCATACTAGCCCCTTGCTGGGAGCAAGGGGCTAGTAACCCCTTCTGTATATACAGTAGAACCCCAAGTTTCGGCCGTGCTGAGTATCAGCCGTTTTGAGTTTCGGCCGCTTTTTTCAGCTAAATTTTGTCCCGAGTTTTGGCCGTTGTCCTGTGTTTCAGCCGGCGTACCAGACCTGTCTGCTTGCCCGCGCCTGTGTGCCTCCCTGTGCAGGTGTCGTGAGCCAGTCTAGCTTCGTTTATCCCTGAGTGAACATTACCCTGCGCACTCATCCAAACACTTCACAATAAATTCATTGTGTTTAGTGCTTGTTTATTGATTGTGACTATGAAATAAGCCACCATGGGCCCAAAGAAACTTCATAATGGCAGCCCTTTGGTAAAGAAAGTGAGAAACACCATAGAAGTGAAGAAGGAGATAGTACAAAAATACGAGAGTGGCGTACGTGTGGGTGAGCTTGCCAGGATGTATGGCAAAAACAAATCAACAATCACTTCTATCCTGGTGAAGAGAAAAGAACTCATGGAAGCTGATGCTGCAAAAGGTGTTCACATGTTAACCAAAAATAGAACACAGTCAAAGAGGTTGAGAAGTTGTTGGTGGTGTGGATCAACAATAAACGGATAGTGGGTGATAGTGTTTCAGAGTCGATCATTTGTGAAAAGACAAGGCAGTTGCATGCCAATCTTGCAAATAAAATGCCTGGAACCAGTGATGATGATAGTGAATTTAAGGCCAGCAGAGGCTGGTTTGGCAGATTTAAGAAGCATAGTGGTATACACAGTGTGGTAAGGCATGGTGAGGCTGCAAGATCTGACAAATTGGTGGCTGCAAAAATATATATGTGAATTCAAGGGGTATGTAGAGGCTGAAGAATTCAAACCCCAACAAGTGTTCAATTGTGACGAAACAGGCCTCTTTTGGAAGAAAATGCCAAAGAGGACCTACATTAATCAGGAGGAAAAGGCACTGCCAGGACACAAGCTTATGAAAGACAGGCTAACTCTTGTTCTGTGCTAATGCTAGTGGGGATTTTAAAGTGAAGCCTTGACTGGTGTATCACTCAGAAAATCCCAGTGTGTTCAAGAAAAACAATGTCATCAAAAGTAAATTGTGTGTGTTGTAGAAAGTTAATCATAAGGCCTGGGTCATAAGGAATATTTTCAAAGAGTGACTCCATGAAGTGTTTGGCCCCACTTACACTCACTCACCCATTTGACCATAAACAGAAATATCAATCTCAATCTTAAAATAATGAATCCTAACTAGTCATAAGTTGGCCTGTGATACTCCAATACTGAAACTATGTATTGTGCCAAAACAAAAGCATTCACATTGCTAAACTCACAAACTAGCATTTAGCCACTTAGCCATAATACCAACTTACCTCATAATTTGTAATATTTTAAATTTAAGAATTAATCTAAGGGGACAAAAGAGAGTGCAAAAATTATAGGGGGATAAATCTGTTGAGTATACCTGGTAAAGTGTATGGTAGAGTTATTATTGAAAGAATTAAAAGTAAGACGGAGAATAGGATAGCAGATGAACAAGGAGGCTTTAGGAAAGGTAGGGGGTGTGTGGACCAGGTGTTTACAGTGAAACATATAAGTGAACAGTATTTAGATAAGGCTAAAGAGGTCTTTGTGGCATTTATGGATTTGGAAAAGGCGTATGACAGGGTGGATAGGGGGGCAATGTGGTAGATGTTGCAGGTGTATGGTGTAGGAGGTAGGTTACTGAAAGCAGTGAAGAGTTTTTACGAGGATAGTGAGGCTCAAGTTAGAGTACATAGGAAAGAGGGAAATTATTTCCCAGTAAAAGTAGGCCTTAGACAAGGATGTGTGATGTCACCGTGGTTGTTTAATATATTTATAGATGGGGTTGTAAGAGAAGTAAATGTGAGGGTCTTGACAAGAGGCGTGGAGTTAACCCTTTCAGGGTCCGTCCCGTAGATCTACGGCTTTACGTTCAGGGTCCAAACCGTAAATCTACGCCATGAGCTCAGCTCACTCTGATAAACTGTGAGTGGTACATTTGGGCCTAGATATGAGAGAATACATCTATGTGGTATGTGTGCACC